GAGCCACCTTGCAGGCCTTGATTTCAAACTGAAATGCAAAATTGCCTTTCATCTGAAAAGAGGACTTTCGACCACCAGACAACAGTCAAGACGATTTTATTTGTATAGCTCAGTTTACAACAGATGTCATAACACAGTGCTTAACATGGTAAGGTATAGACCTTACAAATTTAAACAGAGAACCCAACAATCCAAAGTTGCCTTTGGACTCCCTCTGAGCAAGCGGTTGACAATAGTGATCCCGTTCTTTTACTCTGTAGCCTCGGTAAGATGTTTTTTGACGTTGTCTCTGGTTCAGGAGTGGGTTTATATTAGGAATGCAACAACCCTGAAAACCTCGGTGCTGGTGACTCCTGATGCACTGACGCCAGCCTCAGTCCAATGGTTGTGAAGCTCTCTCATCTTCTTGAATTGACTTTTCTTCACAATCTTCTCAAGACTGCAGTCATCCCTGTTGCATGTGCCCCTTCTACCACACTTTACCCTTTTTTCAACTTTTAATTATTGTGTGTGTGTGCGTGTGTATGCATTTGGATAAGTCACCGTTGTGGTATTTGCGTACCTAATACACGATGTTGTTCTTCTTGCAGCTCCGGAACGTGGCCCTCCTGTCAGGCTGAGTGGCAGCCCAGGGCGTAATGACGCTAAGCTGATATGGGAAGAGATTCCCCAGCATCAACGACGAGGCTTTATCACAAACTACACAATATTCTACACAAGTGGGGGTGAAACACATGGTATGTACCCTTTGCATTGTATCCTGCTTGATGTTTTTTTTTTTTTTTTTACATTTGCTTCTTCCCAAAATTGCATACATGGTTTCATGACATTATCTAACTTGTTGATTTCTGTTTTGCCCCTTTGCAGTAATCACAGTGCCAGCTAACACCACCTCATACACTCTGACATCACTGTCAGCCAACACCAAGTATGACACTTTCATCAGCGCTTCAACCATCCGAGGCTCAACCAATGGCACTAACCACTCTTTCATCACACTGAAATATGGTCAGTGTCAGTTTTCTTACATGATCACTACTTAAACAGTTGACTGAAATAACTGTCAGGGCCGATGCCAGTAACCTGTCGAATGGAACCAGTGTACCTGATATATATTTGGAGTTTAAAATTACATTTTTGTCAGAATTTGTTGAAATGTCTTTTTATTTATTATGTACTTGCTTTATAGCGCCTGAATTTCAACTAAGCTGCTGTAATCAAGTTTCTAATATTTTTAAGTGTTTAAGGCTTTCTGAATTGCTACTAACCTGTTGTCTTCTCTAAATATACCCTCAGCACCAGGAGAGATCGAGGGCATTGTGGTAGGAGTGAGCCTTGGCTTTCTGTTTGTTGTTCTCATGGCGATGCTGATCTGTATCTACAAAAAAGACCTGTAAGTAGCACTTAAACTCGTCTCTGACTGGGGTTTGAAGCCCCTCAGGTTATGTCTTTTTTTTAAAATGTTATTTTTTTTTGTCCTTTTTTTAATGACTTTATGTCAGAGGACAGTTGAACAGAGAAAAGAAAGGTAGAGAAAAGACTAGGGAAGGAAATGCAGCACACTTGCTGTGTCTGGGAATTTTGGCCCCCATACATGGGTCCCCTGCTCAACCAGTTGAGCTACTGTGGCGCCCCACTTAATGTCTTTTATCAGAGACCTAATGGATACACCTTTGGAATTCCATTCATTGTTCATTGCATCTCGCCCCTTTCTATGACGGCAGGCTTTTCAACTCCCCTTTGAGTCTGGCCTTCCATCACAGACAACAGTTGTTTACACTTTAGCCCTCAGGTGTGTCCATCTGAACTAGTTTGTTTTGAAGCCATGGGACAGTCAGCAGTTCTAACGTACTCATTCTAATTCAACACTGTTCGCAATCAAACCAGAAAACCTTAAATCTCCCTTTCTTAGATGTCATGTGAATGGAGGCCTTTTGTTAAGTCATTTTAGTGTTTCTTTATGATGATACAATCATAGACAAGAGTTTAAATACATTTGTAAAGATCACGTATGTCACAACAGTCTGGAGTTATGTATGACTCCTGTAACTCTGAATTTTCTATGATGGAATTGTTGCAACCCATAATAATAATAATCATACATAGTACTTATATAGCACTTTTCAAGACACTCAAAGACGCTTTACAAAGTAGTTAAGAACACACACACACACACACACACACACACACACACACAGAAGGCTGTTTTTATGATGTGCTTGGTATATTGGTCGAACAAAAGGGTTTGGTCAAAGATGATGCCAAAATTTCTGTTGTGAGAGGAATTCGGTACAGTGGGGCTGTCGATAGGGTGGATTTGGTGAGTGATTTTGGTATTTTTAGTATTATACTCTGGGGCTGTTTTTTCTGCCAGTACAACTGGTGCTTTCCACAAAGTAAATAGAATAATGAACATTCTTCAGGAAAACCTAAAATCATCACCCTAAAGGTTGGGTCTTTAACACAGTTGGGTGTTCCAACAAGACATTGAGCCCAACACAGACACACCAAACGTGGTAAAGAAATGGCTAAATCTAGCTCGAATAGAGGTTTTAGACTGGTTTTCCTGAAGTCCTGACTTGAACCCCATTAAGAACTTGTGGACTGTGATGAAGAAACAAGTCTGTGTCAAAAACCCAACAAATTCAGTTTAACTGTACCAATTCTGTCAAGAGTAGTGGTCGTAGATGCAACCAGAAGCTTGTGGACAACTACCAAAAGTGCATGGTTGAAATAAAGATGGCAAAAGGACATTTAATCGAATATTACCAATGCTGTACCTATATTTTAGACTCAGCAGATTTTGCCATATTTCTAGAAGACCTATAATCCATCTATGAAAGACCCAAAGTGCATGATTGTTTTTTGTGTCAAAGACGTGTGTTTTAATGATTCCATCATAGAAAATTCTGAGTTATAGGAGTTATTGGAAATTCAAAACTGCCATGACATACATGGTGCTTAAAGTTTTGTTCACAACTGTTTGTAATCCCCAGTGTTTTCTCTCTTGAAGGATCAAGAAGAACTTTTGGCCTGAGATTCCAAACCCTGGAGAAAGCACGATTGGAAACTGGTCTCCTGATTATCCTTTGAAAGTAAGGACTTCTTTTGCCCTGAGAAAGCCAACACAAACAGTATTTAATACTCTAAGTAATAGTACATGAACATCGTAGAACAGAACAGCCGGTAGATTTGCAGCACTGTGGCAGATTGCTCAGTGTGTACTTCCAGCTTCAGCCTGTTTTTCATAGTGCAGCTGACCCAGTCACTGACCTCTGCAACCTCACTGTCAACCAGTCAGTAGGTACATCAGCTTCAACAGTTAAAAGACTCAATGCAGTGTTTAGGACACTTTCAAAGCAAATTTGCTAACTTTGTTTATTCAGGTTGAGTTACAGGTTCACTAACCTGCTGTTAATCATTCTTCAGGCCAAGCACTCGTGGACCAGATTTTAAAGAGAGCTGTATTATATGAAGGGCTGCAGCTATTGATTATTTTAATAATCAAGTATTCTAACAATTATTCTAGCGATGAATCGAGTAATCAAATAAAAAAACAACCTAATTTCATTAAGTTACTTTGGCTTAGCTTAATAGTAATACATTGTTGTTGTTTTTTTTGCTCTCCCTACCGCTCACCATTTTCATCTCTGTCTGTCTCGGTCTCCATTTTGCATTCTGTGCTTTGCATGCATGTTAACGCATCAAAATGGGAAGTGAGCGTTCTGTGCAACAGAAATAACCGTCTGGGCAGAACACAGACAGACATCCTATAGTGTATAGTGGATTAAATGAAACCTCGAGGCAGAGAATTTTGAGATATTTTATTAATTGAATTACTCGCCGAATCGTTTCAGCCCTAATTATATGTTGCTTTGGTTTAACGCACCAAACTTTGGAAAAACAATCTAGACTAATATTATGTTTATACCCACTGGTGACAGTAGACAGTGCCCGACTTTCCAAGACATTCTAACTCGGATGATCCCAACAACGTAGCTGAGATGACTAGAGGAGGAACAAGCCACACTGATGGTTCATTTAATAAGTTCCTCTTTTTTTTTTCTTTTTACCACCAACTCCATCTGGCCCATCATCACGCCTTCTCACTGCACGTACTATTGTGAAACCAGCGGCCTCAGATTCATTTGCCTACTCTAAATAGTGACATGAAAAAAACCAAAGTGTACTAAGCATAATAATCTTAATGTTTTAACATATTTGTAGCAAATGATGATGTGAAATGTGTGCAGATGCAGCTAGAGGGTTTATAGACATACATCAGTTGAGGTTAGCTGATAATGTGTTGAGTCCCCTTGAACCTTTTGAGGTAGTCACCAAAGAAATCAGCTCCTTCATATCAACAGCAGACGTCATTCCACCAGAAGTGAACACAAAAACATTAGCACCACTTGCTGGCTAGAATTAACGCCAGCCAGCACATGTTTATTTTTAATCTGATATATTTAACCTAGACTCTCTTCCTCTGCAGGCAGAAACACCAAAGGAAAACTGTCTATCTGGCATAAGTGTACTTAATATGGATATTTGTGATGGGAAGTGTGTAATTGAGGACGACAAAGCCAGTCTGCCTCTGAAGAAGGACAAGTATCTGTCTGAGGAGCACAGCAGTGGTATTGGTGGTTCCTCCTGCATGTCCTCACCTCGCCAGAGCGTGTCTGACAGTGACGAGGGCGGCGACATGGCTGACACCACGTCCAGCACCATCCAGTACTCCTCTGTGGTGGCCTCCAGCGGTTACAAGGGTCAGACCCCTAGCTCTCACCCCCAGCAGTCCATTTTTTCAAGGTCTGAGTCGACGCAGCCGCTGTTGGATTCTGAGGAAAGCGCAGACATGTTGGTGCAGGACGGCAGCAGACAGTTCCAGCATTTCTCCAGACAGCCCTGCTTTACGCACAATACAGGGAACAGAGACACCACCGACTCTGATGACTTCAACCAGCTGGAGGTGGAGCAGCAGGAGAACTCTCTGGACTTCTGTCCCCTGGAAGAGGTCACTGAGCAGACCACACCTACAGATGAACTGTCAGCTGACTGGCTGTCAACAGCACCAGTCTCCAGCTATATGCCTCAGCTGGGTGGCTACAGGCCCCAGTAGGAACACAGACAGACCTGACTCATGCATCACCTGCAGTGGCACGTAAAAGCTTGGGTGCGCATGATCAACATTTCTGTCACTGTAAATGGCTAAGTGAATAAAAGTGGACTTGATTTCCAAAAAGAAATGACACGGAAGAAGAGATATTTCATTCATGCTTTTAAGCAAGTTTGCATCTATTAAAGTTTTTTAAAAAAAAGCATAACAACAAGAGGGCCTGAAGCAAAACTTTGGGCACCCTGCACAGTCAGAACTTAGTAACACCCTCATTATCAAGTATCACAACTTTATGCCTTTTATAAATCAGTTTATCTTCTACTCACTTAACTATTAACAGGAACAGAAATTTTAACCAAACTTCTGCATGCCACTGTACATAAACGGTTCGGTGCATATGTTAATGTCGTGCTTTGATTTCAAGCGTTTTAGGCTCTAAAGAAGACTGTTGCAATATATCTTTTGCACTTAACCAAGTATACATAATCTGGGATGATTTACTCTGTAAAGTTAGTGTGACTTAGAGCTTGTACCAGTAGTTTGCTAGCTGTGCACTCGTGGAAACATTTCACAGCCATATCTTTATTTTTAAAATGATGCCCAAAACATATTCGACACGTGGCAACTGTTATTTTAATTTTAAAATAGAACAGTCGGCTGAAGTTTTATACATGAGTTGGAGTGAATGGCGCTACTGCAGTGGACTTTCGGATGATGTCTTCAGTTTGTGCTTCTTTTTCTGTTTCAACATTCTCTTGCTGTAGTGCTGTAGTGCCCTCTTGTGGAGGACTGTCAACTCTGCAGGAAAGTTACAATTTGTTACCTGGGAATTGTCATTTAACCTAAGAAAATGTATCCTTAGTGCAACTGTATGTACTGCACATGAATTTAATCAAGTAACACAAGTTCATCCTGACATGTGCTGCTACTGACATGCCAATGCATGTTTGCTACCCTTGAATTAGAAAACGGGAGAAACATGACGTGTTCTCAGTGTATCACAAGGTCACTCGGCAATTTCACTGCGCTATGTTTGGATGTGAAGTCAGTATTTTAATTTATGGAAGTCAGCAAAAGTCTTACCATCAACAGTGAAAGACTGGGTTGCTTTTCAGTATCTCTACAACGCTCCCTGTAAATGCTACACTTGGACCCCAGTCTGTGTCGGCGCAAGCATTACATCTTCATTCCTTCTCATCCTACAGTGTTCAGATACAATGTTGAATATACTGACATGCTAAACAACTGTGCTTTTCACTTTAATAAACCTCTGATCACAGTCACTGACGGTAACATGGAGATAATATGTCCCTGTTAAGTAAGGCGGATTCTCGACAGTTAAGTCCAGATGACCTGGGAATGTGATTACACATGCTCTGATCTCAACAGCAAATAATGGCTTGCTGTGTTCTTCTGGACAGAGGCATTCATTTGCCAGCAGAGAAGCTGAGCATGAAACGTGATGAAGTGTCATGTTCCATGAATTCGATTTAACTTGGTTAAGTTTTATTGAAATATTCCCAATTTAGAACATGCATCCTCACAAGGCACTTCATGTATAAGCTTGCAAATTATATTTTAGAGAGAATCCCAACAAATCCAGAGATTCCCTTTGAGCAAGCGTCTTGGTGACACGAGCAGACTGAATGACGGACTAACTATTTCAGAGCACCAGTTCCTGTGTGGCCAGCAAAGGTTGAAAGGTTTGTCTGTCAGAATGTAGTATATGACTAACAGAAAATATATAATACATGTTTTAATGAATGTGTTGATGTCCATGACTGTATTTCAGCCTGTGTGTTTGTTTTATACCCACCAAACAGTATGGGAAATGGTTTCGAGAAGAGCAGATGCAAATTTAGGCATAAATTTAGACATCTCATGGTCATGCTTGGTGAAATCTCTGAAATGTTATCAGGCGTGACTGTTTTTATTTCTGATGTGTGGAACTTTTCAAATGTATTCTGTGTGTTGGACAGATGCGAATGTAAATATTGTTTGTAGGAGCATGTCACTAATGGTTAAAAAAAAAAATCTGTTTCAAACTGATAGTATCTCATAGATATTATATAGCACGTATTAATTCCTGCTTAACGTTTTGGTGTCTTTACATTTGAAGTCATTGTTTCTGTTGTGACTCACTGCGCTATGGGAGACACTGCCGGCTTTTGTTTTCAAAGTCGTAATAACGGGACGTAAATATGCAAGTTTCTTTTTTCTAAAAAATCGCATTGTGTCATATTACTAAATTCATCTGTGGTGTGAGTAGTTTGCCGGCTGGATGTGAGCTGTGTGGCTTCGTAGTAAAAACGGCTGCTGGTGCTGAAGCCTCCAGTCACTGTCGTGTCTCTTTAACGGAGGTACTGTCAGGACGGGGAGGGGGTGGATGGGTTCATCGGGTTCATGTAGTATTGGACGCCTCCTCCCATTTCAGGTTAGCTGCTTCTCTGGGTACCTCGGTAAATGGTTAGGTGTAAGGCAGATGGATGATGACAATGGAATGGAAGTTTGCGTTGTTAATGGCCACATAGCCGAGCTTGACCTTTATTCATGACACAGAAGCTCGATCAGCTGATGACTCCAAACTAGCTGCCATTTTTCAGGTCATTTGAGGCATCTCACTAACTTGTTTGTTGCTCCAGCCAGTTTGTAAGAGTATACCTGCTTCCTTCTCCTGCTAGTCGTCCACTGGAATGGAGGGATCGCTTTGTCCTGTGCTGTCTAGTGGTGGAATATAAATCATGATGGCTGATGGATGTTGCAGAGGAATGGAAAGAGGCAGGGGTAAGATTGCATCAGATTCTTTACCAAGACACGCATATCCACAGCAATATGTCCAAACTGGATCACAGCAGCAGGTAAATGACATCCAGGAATTAGCCTCCAAACGCGTCGACATCCAGAAAAAACGCTTCTATCTGGATGTCAAGCAGAGTGTTCGCGGCCGCTTTCTCAAAATAGCCGAGGTGTGGATTGGAAGAGGCCGTCATGATAACATCAGGAAGAGCAAGCTGACGTTGTCTATGTCCATGGCACCCGCACTACGCTACTGCTTGGGAGACTTTATAGATTATTATGCCCGTATCGGACTGAGAGGGGGCCTGGCGCCTCCGCAGGTCGACGAGCACAGCAACAACGGTCAGGGCCGCGCGCATGATTGTCGCAGGAGAGTTCAGGAACAGCAGCACGCGATATTGTCTCCCACCGGCTCTGCGGTGTCCGACGACCATGCCCACCGCGTCCTCAAGAGCGAATTTATCGAGAGAGACAACCGAAAGTACTTTCTGGACCTCAAAGAGAACCAGAGAGGTAGGTTTCTCCGCATACGGCAGACTGTCAGCAAAGGACACGGTACAATGGGCTACTACGGCCAGGGCATCGAGCAGACCATCGTGCTGCCCGCACAGGGGCTCATTGAGTTCAGAGACGCTCTGTCACAGCTCATTGAAGACTACGGCGACGAGGAGAGCGACGAGCGCGGCCGAGCCGGCTCCAGGAGCCGCGACGACGACCCCGAGCTTCCAGAGGCTGCGTCTTTTCGGGTGGACAACAAAAGGTTTTACTTTGACGTCGGTTCAAACCGGTATGGTATCTTTTTAAAAATTAGCGAAGTTCGACAGCCGTACAGAAACACCATCACAGTTCCCCTAAAAGCCTGGGCTAGATTTGGAGAGAATTTCATCAGGTACGAGGAGGAGATGCGGCGAATCTTCTCTTGTCATAAAGAGAAGAGGACGGACGCTCGGCAGGACAGTGAGGAGCAGGAGGACTGAGCTGGCCGCAGGCTGCAGCCGCTGCACCGTAGCTACAGAGCAGAGTCCACACTTGGCAATTACACAGTGTACTGTATGTACATACAACCCACATGCGGTGTACTTTATTAACGTTTTGGCTCATCTGCCAAGGGCTGGTAAACTACAAATTTGAACCTGCCAAGAAGTTATTCATTCATAGCCTAATGCCTACATCTGTTTCCATTCGTCAGTGCTCTTGAATGCACCTTAAACACTAAGGCAGGGCCAGCCCGCAGCTCCATGGGGCCCTCAATTCAATTTTGTAACCCCCACATCCATTCCTTGCCTTTTCAATTGAGTGCACTGTACAGTGTGTAATTGTTTGATTCCAAATGTTGTAGAAAAGTGACACCACTGGTCATATGAATGTGGTGTTGGTCAGAAATTTCTTTTCATATTTTGCCCCAGAGACATAGTGGCTAACAGTTTTATGGCAAGCAATTGTACAGGAAGTGTTCAACCCCAACCAGTGACTGAAAGCAAAAAGTAACTGGTACACAATGAAGGACAATGTGTTCGCTGTAGTGTAGGTTTTATAATAAAAAAAAAGCGTGATTTAGGAAATTGTACAGGAAGAAACATATTACATTTTCTCAAAGACATTTCTAATGAAAGTATAAGTAAAAATGAGCAGAGGACTTCAAACATAGAATTAGTCCCAGCCATTTAGACCCTAGCAGGAGCTTATTGTAAGTGCAATACACACTCCCAGCATCAGCTAACGCAACCATACTAGAGACAGAAAGCAGTTATGGTACAGTAAGAAGGATGTGCTGAGCAAATGTAATATTACGTTCCTTATTTGCTGCTTTCTTGGAATAACAAGCAGTGGCTTTGGGAAATGGGACAGGAGCAAGCTGCCAGGTTAGGCCGACACTGATCATAACGCACACATGTTGTGACGTGCATCATACACTACTAGTGTGTGTTACCGTTTAGTGGACTGAACTTGCTGTGTGTATTTCATTCCTGTAGCAGCAAAGCAGCACAGCCCCTCATGTTGTTAGCACTGTTGTCAGGGAAAGCACCAGAAGTTTACAGTGGAGGCAAACGAATCAAAAACTTTATAGCTAGTGCAATCCATCTCCTATTATTTTGTTTAACACAGGCACTTAAATCCACATACGCAAGACTATTTGTGTTGTGGTGATGATGTTTGTTTTTATTTAGGTTTGTTCTCACTGAGCTGAGTCACAATATATCTTTTTTTAAAAAAAATTAATATGTGAGTTGGTGCTTGCTTTGAAGCCTTAAGCACTTGAAGAAGAATTGACGTGTAGAATTTGCTGCCTGAATAGATCACTTTCTGAATATATCCTAGATTATATATTCAAGGGAATAAATGTCTGTTCTCACATCCAAAACACAGCTAAGACAAAGAAAACAAAGCATGACCACCATCTTAAAAGACACAAATGGATCTCATATCGCAGGTCTCTTAAGGACAAGTGTGTTACTATAGTTACATTATTTATACTATATGGTAATCAAATCCCAATAGTTCAGACTTACATCATTTATTTTCTGAAGGAAAGGTATTTACATGTGTTCTGCTGAGCCACATAAAGGGATCTTACGCAGCTCGTTTTCATTGTCTACACGGCTGCATCCTCAGTCCTTTTTCAGTATCCGCATTGCCGTGCACTCGGAGGTATTTGGCAGATCTTGCAGTCGTAAACTCATGAAAAAATAAATCTGAAGTTTAAAAAGATGTGCCAGATTGCGTACAAGCGAACCTGAAATACATCCATCACGGATAAGGCACAGAGCTGTGGGAGACATTAACACTTGATGCAGTGAACCATTAAAGAACATGACTCTGATTCCTACTTTTTGGTCCGTGACCGTTTAGAACGGGAAGTTATTAACATCTTGCCAAAAAGGAAGTTTCTTTTTAGATTTATTTGTATTAAAAAAAAATATTTGGGACATGAGCAAATGAAATTAGTTCCAGGTAATCTGTGTATTTATCCTATCATCTCTAGAGACCTCAGATTTCTGTCCCATTAGGGTCCTGTTTGGATGCTTGAAATATTGGTACCTATATTTTGTATTATTTTACTAGATGTCCCTGAAAAGTTTTACGTACTGATAACGATTGACATCAAACATGAAAATGAGGTCATTCATTATGGCATACCTTCGATCAGTAGCTTGAAAATCTACTGCCTCATGTGTGCAAAAATGTTTTTTACCAGTATGTGGTGCTATGGAAATGTGTTCACACTTTTTTCTGTCGTACAGTCATTGATATCTTAAGTATAGAAACTGGCATCATAGCCGTGATGTCAATGAACACCTCAGTGCTCATTGGTAAACTGGGAGCAAGTAGCAAGAAAGGGCTCAACATCCTTCTTAAACAACTATCTCTATATCAGTGTGGTGCAGAAACATGTATTTTACCTTTCCTTACAGTCTCTGAAGTTGTTTGAAAGTCAATATCTTATACACTCTTTTGTTTCCAAGTCACTAAATCCATCCAAGTGCTGCCTTTACATTTGAGCTTAAATGGCAGCTTGCTGTACATTTTGCTCTGTGTACGCTGTATGTGACCTTTATGAAAGAAGAGCTGCTCACTACTGACAAAGAGCCCGATCCAGACCATGACTTAAGCATCATACAACAGATTTACTCAGTTGTTGTGCTCTCCTGATACCTGAGAACGTCTCAGGTGGAAGGTCTTCTTTAAGATCAGACACTGAGGTGATTAAAATTTAAGTCTCACACTATCTCGCTATTTATAATTTGAAAAAGAAATCGACAATATGCATTCTACTTCAGTTAAATTTTCTAGAAATTTGTTTCCGAAGGTATGGCCGAGGCAAAGGCCAGTCTTTATATCTGAGTTTAATTGAACCAAAATGGCTTACATGGTAAATTCAAATCAAACATTTCAAAAACGTTGAATAAAATTATGTTATATTCACCAGTCTTAACACAAATGCTCTTCTCATTCACACACCACTTAATTCCAGTGTCTTTGTTTTTCATTAGCTCGTACTCCAGTGTCACTGAAACCCAACACAGTCTTTTTTAATGTAAACAATATAATAAAATACTCTCCAGTATGCTAAAGAATCGTTAAATACAGCAATAGCTGAACGTATGGAGGAAGTGGAGACTCCTGTCAATGACGTGTGCGATCTTTTAAAAAATCAGGTAGGAAGTCAGGTTTCCCAGAAGGTGTTGATGCAGATGTGGAGAGGTGTCGCAGCACAATGAGCTAATATTTCAGAGTGCTGTGATGCTTGCGAAAGTTGATGAACAGATTCTATCTTATGGCTTTTCCAGCTCAATGCAGTAGGTATGTTCCCCAGTGATTTTTAATTTTGGTGAACAGTTTCTTCAGAAAAGGTTTTGATACCACAGTCACAGAAAAATAAATTTTTTTGTCTCAGGCTGGCAGTTGCCTGTCAGTGCGTATTTTAAATCAGACAGTTTAACCACTGCTCTAAATCTGTGTGCAAGGTACAGTATAATTCACTGTTGGTAACCAACGACAAGTTGGGAACACAGCTTCTGTAAAAGAAAAACACTCCTGCTGTGTTCCTAATGTTCTATTGTTATTACACTGTGCTTTTTGTACTACCTCGTCCTTACAGTATTACTGGAATATACTGAAGTACAGAACTCAAAGCATAATGGAGTCCTCCTGTAGTTGTCCATCCTGGACATTAAATTACACCCCATTGTAAGCTTCAGTCCATTTACTGACAAGTCAATGTCTGAACAGAATCAACTCAGTAACGCACATATGAAACCACCTCAGACATGTCTGAGCCGGGCCCTTTGTCTCAGTTTTGACTGCTGTTAACTCCCAGTTTAGTGAGTTTGAGATTTAATGAAATGAAAAAAAAAAGAAGCAAAAACTGGTTAAAATAAATCAGTGTCATAAGATTTGTAGTAGTGGCAGCCAGGTTTTGTGATGCCTTTACCTGAAAAGCACAGGACTATTTGGGTTTGGTGTGTTTATTGTACATTTAGATGAAGAGTGTTAACTTGGCAGTAAGACAGTGAGTTCTTTTTTATTTTCATATAAATGGCTATATAAACCAGTGTATAATTCAAAGCACAATTTATTTAACAAAAAAAATAACATGGAATAAAGAATATACTCGATTCTTTACATTAAAATAGTTAGTGTTGATGGTCAGTGAATTAGGCTTGAGAAGCAAATTTACTTTAAAATAATTCTTGCCTCGAGCCAAGATATAAACAAAGTCTAAAAACAAAGTATTTGTGATGTTGAAAGTGAAATGTGAAGTTCATTAAAAGTATGATGGTCTTTTAAATTCCAAATATCACTCCTAAAAGCACTTTAAATAAAAGCTGCACTTTTTCTTCTGCTGCTTTCTAAAAGAAATTGACATTTAGGGACCATTTCTATCCATGCCTTTGGTGTTAAGCGACAATCATGGATCCCTGCTTATAGAATCAAATCTGTAGTGAAACATCTATTAGTGTTATTCATGCAAACACCACATTAAATCATAACTTGCCAGATGTACTGAGACTAGAATCTCACCAGGTCCTACTTTTCCCAAATTTAAAATATGGATTTCCTTCCATTGACATCAACAATGTAGAGATTACTTGACTATGAACAGGATTGTTTGGCAACAGCACAAACTACTATGTGATGATCTATTAAAATGAGAACGCATGGAGTGAAATGGAACATGCCATGTACTCCAACGGGGTCATTTGTAAAATCACATGAAAAGTAAAATGAGGAATCTTTTTAAATTTTACACCAGAGCTGGCAGTGCACCAAACTATTCCCATATTTGTACTGTAACACTTTTAGAATTGCAAGGGTTACATTTAAATCAACTCATATGAATTGTGTGCTAGTTCTGATGAGTGCGATTTTGAACACGTGGTAGCCTGACCATTAAGAGGATTTTGCACCTTACAAAAAAAGTTTTATTTTTTTTAGTTTATTACCAATATAACAAAAATTGGAACTATTTTATGTAGGAGCAGATGTTTTAGTGTCACAGCTTATTTTACTGTATTCCATGAAACCAGGATAAGTGAGTTTAGGATGAAAAGCAAAAGGATTTCAGCTCTAAGTCATTTTCTGTATTCTGCAATGTATGCTCCTGTCTTTTCTGCAGTTATGTATCGGACGTAGAAAGAATAATGCAGAACTAAGAAGATACTGAAGAAAGCTGTGGGATTTCAAATTAGTTACCTGAATAAAAGAAAAACAAATCATCCTAAACTTTTATAAGATTTTGGAGGAAGAAAAGTTTAGGGTGATTTGTTTGTCTCTTTCATATATATATAGATAATTTACAGGGAAAATAGCTTTTAAGTATTTATAAAAAGTCCCATAATTGCAGAATAAACAGTGAGTATGTCCTGTTTTCATACTTGTGATGATTTTTAATCCCCTGAAAAAGCATACTGGTGCTTACATTTGTTTTTTTTAATGTGATTAGCGACAGACCATGTATGCTTCATATTAAACTGAACTGTTTTCAAAGCATATTACACGCAGAGGACAAATGTGAAGCTAGCGTGAATGTTATGTAAAGGGATTAATGGAATCTGCCAACTTCTTCAAATTCAAAATATTTATACGCTCGGACACTTTGCATATCCCTTTGTCACAGGTAGCAGACCAACTCCCTGCTTCAACCTGTGTGGGATTTCTTGTGCAATGAGGGATTCTATGATATTTTGCTCACTTTCAGTTTTGTCTCAGAATTTATTTTTGAGCTATCTTGATATTACATGTTCTCCATTTTTCCTGTAATAGGTGCAAAATTTGACGCTTCTCTCTAGGAAATGTAATGATAAATAAAGAAGAAGAAATGATAATTCACAAACTATGAAGCTGTAAAATACACCTGTGGTTATATACTGACGTAATTGGAAGTCAAATCAATCTGACCTTTGCAGTGATGTAAATAGAAATGCAATTTCAGTTTGAGTGTCTGACACAGTCACTCTCCCCAGACATACAACTGAGCCATAAGAGGCTGCAGATTCCTTACTGGCAGAGAACAGCAGCTGTGGTCAGCCTTTAGGGACACTGGATCACAATATTGCCAAGATTTCACCAGAGAGAGAAAAATTGGTTGCCTTTGACTAAATTTACCTTCTCTAATTTATGATAATGTCTCAATGTATCTGCTAAGGGAAAGGAAAACAAAAAAGGTCCACTTCCTTATGTTTTCTCAAGCTTTCTACCATTTCTTGACATGACTGGTTCCCCATGTAGGTGAGGAATACCATGACATGGCATTGAAATAACCTTCTGGTCAACTCCATACATACAATGATGTGTAGTGCCATTTTTGTTTTCTGTTTCTAAGGTCGAGAGTGAACGTTTCTTGTTCATCTTCTGTGCTGTCCATATGGATGTTCTGCAACGACTTTCCAAGGTGTGACTAAATAATGCTTTTGTCAGAATCATGTTCATCAAAAGTGTATGAAAGCACAAAAAAGCAATGTATCCAGCCATATTTTGACCACAGGTGCTCTTCTTTGTCATGCAAGAAACGAGAAACAATATATTGAGTATTTGATACCAATAAGACAGGTTTGGGGTTGTTAGGTGATTTAAAAAAAAAAAAAAAAGGAAACAAACCGGTATGGTCCTTTAAGTTAGGTGAGATAATCTAACTCTCAGTTACATTAAATAGATGGCTACAGGTGGAGGGCTACAGGATGTTGGACTTGAATAAACAGCTAAAAAAAAGAAAAAGAAAAAAAAAAAACTTGACTGTTAACAAAGATCTAATGTTTCCAACCCTGACGCCTTAAAGCACCTTTGCGGTTTGACTGTATCTTTTCCTAATTATGATTCTGTGTCTTTGTAGTTTTCTCAGTCATCCAGGCCATGGTGATCTTAAGTCCAGTGTCTTTTTACTGAAGCTCCTGGGATTTGATTCTTGTGCTTTGTTTAGCAGATACTAATGGTTAAAAATATTCAACTGGCCAATGCCAACAGAAGACTAGTTCTCATAGGATCGTTGTGGTAAATTTGGATGTCATGCTCACATCCAGGATGAAAATGATCATTTTACAACTAATTCTTCAGAGAACAGAGGTGGAAATCACTCTGATAAAGTGTACGTGTTTATCTGTGGTTGTGCAGGTAGAGTGATGTGAACGTGCACATACTGAAGAAGACCTTCTGGTTTGCTGTTTAGTTTTGCTTAAGGTTCACCAACAGTTTTGGAGTGGAAAACGTAGAGGTTTAGATGTTTGGTAATCATTTAAAAATGAACTGAAGTGAATAATGAACATGTGAAAAAGTGTAAATTTAGATACCTGTAATGTAATACACTGTTGTGTCCTATAGTCCAGTAAACTAAGAGTTAAAAAAACAAGAAAGTTTTGTACTCTAGCACTTTCTTTAACGTGTACTGTATAAGTTCATCTTCTACATGTAAAGTACTGTATGGATATTCATTACTTGCCTTGTAATGTTTGAAACAATGCTATGTTTAGAAATGGTAACCAAGAAAACAAAAGTTTTTAGAGTGTATGCATGCCAATGGTTGGGTCCCAGTATAAAAGGAAAACTATATGAAAAATGGTGCTATGTTACATTATATAAAGGTGCTTCTATGGACCCCAGCTGAATGCATGCAAAGAGGAACTATCAAAAGTAGAAAAAAAAAATAGAAAATTGATGTCCTACTGCTGTTCTCAAATAGTGCTGCTTCCCAAAGATTTTGGAAATTTGAAAAATCCAACTTTCTATTTGTTAAAATGCAACAGCCCTTCAAGTTAGACTTTCAACTCTGGTTGTGACGGAGAAACCTGGCAACATGTCAGCGATCTCTGCCACCGTGAGCACATGGTGTTTCTTTCACCCTGTTCATTGTCCTCCAAACACACTTTCAGTGTTTGTTGGGAAGTAGCATTTTAACTCTGACATAGCAAGTTTAAGTGTTGTCCATGTTCTGCCCTATTTTTTGGAGCTATGTCAGTGAAACGCATGGCGGGTGTCAGTCTGTCAGATGGAAATTTCCAATTTACTTTGTAATGCATAGTATTTCTAAAATGCTTAGTAGGTGGTTTTGTGATCACAAATGGTGAAGTTTAACTGTAAATGTTATTATTACCAGCCTCCCCAACTTTCAGACAAACCAGAATCAGGATCAGCCTGAGCCTGTTTATGTCCCTGAGCGTTATAGTCAAAGCATTGAAAACCAAGAGTATCTAAAATTCTAAAGGCAGTCCATGATGAGGTGGCATTTATGTTAGGGGGGAAAAAAAAGAACATGTTTATTTACAGTTACACTGCCTTTGTGACAAAGTCGAAAAGATCTACAGACAATCTAATGACATCATTTTGTACTCTTAGTTCTTCAGAAGTTTGTGTATTTGACTAATTTTTCAAGTAGCAGAGTTATTTCACAGCACACATCATTATCGTGTATCCAAGGTCAAAGTTGTTTGAGTTTGCAAAACTTTGTGTTTATTGTCACTGGAAAATTGGAAAATGAAGATGTGTGTGTTTATTGGTTGTATTAATCATTGTTTTTCTTTTTGTTTTTTTTATGTTTTCCATTAAATGTTTTCCAGGATTATCAATGTTTTGTTCATTTTTCATTTTAGGAGTCATGTCAGTGCTGTATGCATCTGTGGGCTGTAAACGGTGTCCTTTTGCTATGGAGTAGGAATTTATATGAAATGTTAAAGAGAGTTCTTATTTGGTCATAAAATTCTGATGTATGTTACGCTTGTAATCAAGGCATCATTTTTGTCAACTTATTCAAGATTTAGTAAATATGGAAGGATAGATTGCACTTACAGACATAATGAGTCATTGGATATGGTTCATGTCGTGCAGGAGTTTAATCATGCTATTAGAAATTTATGGTAATATCTATGAAAGGAAACATCTTGCGGCTAATTATTGTGTCCTGGTATTCTGTAATCTGTCCTCTTGTTAACAACCCCAGTAAACAAATCCAAAGCAACAACTGACCACATTCCACTAACAGGTGTTGTTGGTCAAAGCTGGATGTATGTTAATCCTCTATGCCAAGGAGCTCCATTATTGTTCAAACGCTTTTAAAAACGCACCAGTGAACCATGCTGTTGCATTGGATGACAGTCCCACATACACTACAGCACCAAATAAGGATCAGTCTGCTGCTGATAATATTTCCTGACAAATTCTTTACTTCCTCCTGTTTGAGTAACACTTCCTAAAAACTACACAGAGAATCTGATTCAGAAAACGATTTAGCCTTTCTTAAAAATGAAAGCGTTGGAAAATGTTGACGATTTTCAGTTTTTGGGAATACAATTTGAAACTTGATCAACATGAAGAGAGCACATAAAAAGTAGAGAAAAATATCAAAGAATCAGAATCAGTTTTTTTGGCCAAGTCTGTACATGCAGACACAGAATTTGACTCCAGTGAATCTTAGCTGTCTGTGCACAGTAATCAGAAAAAAGTAATAAGAATATAAAAATAAGAGGAGTCGAGGAGTAAAAACATAAACTAGAACAATAAAAACAAGAGCAATATAAACATCCAAAAATAGCATTTACAATGTGGATGCAAAGCGGTAGGGTTGCTGAGGGTTACTGAACTGACAAGGTGTCCAACAGGAAGTCAATGGTGAGCAGATATTTCCTCCTTGAACTGCAGGTATTTGGCACTGATCAGAACAAGGTTAGCTTATGAAATACTCTGTATGAATCTGCATTTGGCCCTGTAGAGCCCTTTTTCAGACCATTTGGTTCAAAACCTACGGCAATGGAAGGTGTTGGCTTCATATCCGAATGCACACCTCGATCACATGGCCGGGCTACTTGGAGACATTATTCAGGCTGAGGCCATGAAGCTGCCATTATGTATGCAGTGTCTGATGACTAATGATTAAACAACAATAGAAGGGCATGAAGCAGTCATAGTATAAAGGAGAAAAAAGGAAATGAAGTGATGTTTTGTCCAGCCTTGGTATGACTAGCAGTCTTGGTGCAGTCACTGGAGTGAACTGAGGCGGAGTTGGATCGACCTGTTCAGGTAACAAACATGCAGTGAGCACCACAATCATGTCAAACTGTTGAATGTGGAGTTTGTATTGGTGGTTCAAAAGAACAGGGTTGGCTGAAGTGAAGTGTGGAAGCAGTAAACTGGGACAGATGGCTGACTATCAGAGAAACACTAATAAAGACGTTGCACAGACAAGAACGTGCAGAGTCCAGAAGATGGCAGTAATGAAACCTGAAAGATAGCGTTGAACATCAAAAGGGGAAGTAGAAGCAGTAGTAGGGGAGGAGGAAGTAGTAGAAGAAGAGGAAGGAGGCAGAAGAAGAACAACACAGAAGAACAGCAGCAGCAAGAACGCAGCTGGAAGAAAACACTTCAAACCTTAGTTCCATCTCCTCTGCTGCCGTACTGAGGTCAACAGCAGCTCTGCAGATTGGTATGTATTTATTTTGGTGGTATTGTGTGAGCTGTGCACGGCGCCGGTGAAGTAGGAAGGAGCCGCCGGTGTGTTGACAATTCATTTCCAGACAAGTTTGTTGTTTAAATACTTGCTGAGACAGCAGAACTGGGATGAGCTGAAGGAATGAGGAGGAAAAGGCTCACTGCAGACTGTCATATACACGGTGGTCTGGAGTGTTAACACGCGTGTTTTTCTCTTGTGAATTAGTCAGATAACTTAGTGAAAGTGTCCTGAATCGTTGCTTATTGTTGCAGACGCGACACTTTGCTTTCTCACGTTACCTGCGACATCTCACGTGAGCGTGACGTCAACGTGTTTTAAAGTGCCGAGTAGGACGCCGGTTTACTTCCGGTCTGGAAATAATGATTGATTCAAGTGTACACATAAGACAGTCTCGGTATTCTGACTGTGATTGATTTATTTAACGTGAGGAAGAAGGGTGGGGGGCTCATTGTTTACGGTGTTTGTCTGTGAGTCAGCAGCTACAGGGTTCTTATTCAGCAGCTGACAATCTTGATGGTCATGTTGAGGGTAAAGAACAGTTTAAAAGCTGCTCCCTCCTCATGCAGCCAGCCAGGATCAGGGTTTGGACCTGGTCGGATGGGTGCCCCTGAGCAATGCATCAAAGTTTTGATTGGATGTTTGTCAAGGTAGAATGTTTGATGTCCACATCATTGATAACCGTGGTATTTAAACAATGAAATAGTGATTTCACGCTGATATTACACACGATAAAGTCGTAAATCCACCCTGTCCCTACACATGTATTAGGAATGAAATCAGTTTGGGATAAAACACACAATACGCAAAGTTAAAGGTGAATTTGAGTGGGTTTTTTTGTTATTATTTTCAATAGATATCAAATAGTTTTGGCCATAGTAGACTGTATTTTGACAGCTGGAATCTCAAATATTAACAGTGTAAAGTGACTGTCAGTCAGAAATGTAATAATCCCAGAGAGGAGGAGTAAAAAGTCAAGAATATGTCAAATGTGCTGAAAACGTAGTTGCATGGGACATGAAATAAACCATTAAAATATTGTGCATGACAAACAAACACAATCAAGTGTTAATTGTTCATCTAAATATTAGAGTAAAGAATGATCAGACCAAGATAGACCATTGGGGTAGTCCTGCTGTTTCACTTGCTTAGGTAAAGTTAAAGGTTGGGATGACTTTAAAGGTGCGATTTATGGATCAAAGGCATGTGATCGGATGGAGTCTGTCCTGTAGAAATGAATTAAACACCATGAGAAGTCAGTGCTGTAGAGAGCTTTAGGGACAGCCCGTACTACTGTAGATCAGAATATGTTGTTGAAGCAGCAACAAGTGTGAGTCAAATTCCAATCTAATGAAACTATTAGACTATACACTACATAACCATAATATTAACTCAGCTGATGGGGGTTTTGCTTTATTTATGATCTTGAGACCTTGTTTCAGTCTTGTTTTAATGCCTCCATACTTAAAGCTGATACAAACGTTACTTGATGCTTGTTCCTGAAATAATCTGTGTTCAGTCATATGTCCTTATAGAAAACTGTGGATCATGCAGTATTATATTGGGTGTTAATTGGCGTAAGCAGCTCATTTTTTGCTCCCGGGCCAGACGGCAGGTTGATGAAAACTAGCTTTGACAGATTTGAAACTTTCTTGAATTAGATAATCCAGCAAGAATAATATCCACTGTTATGGACTGGCCAGTCTCCAGGTCTGTGTAGGTTTATTTCCACAGCACGCTAAAGTGATTGCAGCTAGACAGTAGACCAACACACTTACTCACACTGTGTATAGTACAGGTGTTTTAATGTTTTATGGTTGTGATGGTTGTATCTGATCAAATTTTACAACATATTTCTTCGCAGTCAGGTGATGAGAGTTTAGCTGAACGTCAGCGGAATCATGGAGGATGACTGCAGGCCTCTGCTGAGCTCCGAGCAGACTGGAGGGAGCTACTCGCACAGAGCCTCCATAGACTCTCTGGACTTCAAGCCTAAAAGGTAGATTACTTTGAAACACTACACCAGTCCATTTGTGATATTTGCTAGCACTGCTCTCACCTGCACATGACAGAATAATTCCCTCCTGTGAGATTCTTGCAGCATTGCACAGAGGTTCCTGTTGTTCAGCAGTGCACACGACAAGTGGTGTCATTGCTGCTGTTGTGCAGCGGGCTTTGGGTGTGGTTTTGGCTGGTCATGCACTTCTCAGTGGCCTAGACAGCTGAAGAGGCCACACTCGTTCCAGGGTGACATGGTAGAAAAGTATGAACATGTCAAGTCACTTTATGTTGGGTTTGTCAAGACAACATTTCCTTAGTTCTAAAAATCATGACCACGATCTTTAGAGTGTTACACTGAGATAAAGCGAAATGGTACAGAGGTGTTTAGTTTGCTGACTCATTTGGTCAATGAGTGTCACAACTAAAGTGATGTGACTGATGTGCTTTGCTACAGAGCAGGACTGAAACCCTCTGAGAACATAAAGAAAAAGATTCTCTGGTCTGATGTAGCTAAGCTGATTTTCCGCATAATTTTTTTCTTTGTTGTCTTTTTGTTTTTGTCTTGTTGCGGTATTGAGCTCCCACATCTGTTCCTTTTATGTGTTTTTAGGCTGCTGAATTAGTTTTCATGCAGCTGCAAATATTTTGTAATAATTAGAAATGGAAATTAAATTACACTTATTACCTGTTGTTATTCCTTATAATAAAGTGTTTTGCAATTGTCCAGTCTGGAAGAAACAAAAGCATGGATGTTTTTTTTGCTGAGTTAGCAGTGGTTGGTTGGACTTTGGTTACTGGAGTGTCAAACGATTGTTTTCTGCTCTGAAAAACTATCCCATGGCCTACTTTTGTACATTATGAGATAATGCAACCAGACGAGAGGACAGATTGTTTATGCTGCTAGTGCTGGGGCCAGAGGGGTTAATAATAATGATTTTCAATTTTGGGGTCATTCAGTTGCAAAAACGTGTTTAAAATCCATTTCTTTTGCCAGACAGGACACAATATGTGAAACATCAGTGATACCAGGCCTTAACCAGACATACAGTTGGGTGTCTTCTGTGTAACAGTGGAAATTAGTGCAATTTGTTTGCAGGATTTTCACCTGCAGTGAACTGTGAATAAGACCCAGAATAGACCTCTGGGGGACCCCACGCTGGAGAGGAATACTTAAAGGGCCGACATCTCCAAGCAAGACAGAGGAGGAATTAAAATAGAATAGAGACCAGAGTCTGGGGCAAGCAGCAAATCAATGCAGACCTTGACAAGAGCAGTCTCCTGCTATGTAGGGAGCACAAACTAGATTATCCGTCCATCCATTATCTATGCACCACTTAATCCTCACTATGGACAGGACACCAGTCAATCACAGGGCTACACTTAGAGACAGACAACCAAGCACACTCACATTCACACCTATGGACAATTTAGAATTACTAATTAACCTCGACATGTTTTTGGACTTGTGGGAGGAAGCCGGAGAACCCAGAGAGAACCCACGCTGCACGGGGAGAACATACCAACTCCACGCAGAAAGATCCTGGTGTCCTCACTGGGACCGCGATCCGGCGACCTTCTTGCTGCGAGGCAACGGTGCTAACCACTGATCCACCTTGCAGCCCACAGACTAGATTATAATTTTCATAAATCATTATCATAATAATTTCATTTTCAAATCATTATTCATAAGAGAAATTTGTTGGAATGGACACAGTTTTCCCCTAAAATCTTAGATTAAAATGGCTGCTTAGAGACGGGTCTAAAACTACTTACAACAGAGGTATCTAAAGAGGTCTTCTTTAAAAGTGGGTAAACAGTGGCATGTTTGGAATAGGAGGGGACATTTTTAGTAAGCAGAGAGCACTTATGAATAGCTAAAATATCAGGGTCAAGTGTCTGAGACACAACTTTAAATGAATTAATGAAGTCACATCAAACTGTCTTGATAAATGTCTGCTATTTTGTTAATAAAGTAATTTTTAAAAAATCCTCACCTCCTTCAGTGGAAACTTTAACTGGTTGGCTGAGCAGTGGTACCATTGTGGAATTTATGGTTTTAAAGAGGATTCTGGGATTGTGACCCTATTTAGCTTGGTGCTCAGGAAAATCAGTGTGATTTGCTTCTCTGTTTTCACACTCATAGGAGAACATTAGATATTTCAGAGAAGCAAGTTAGACATTACGTTTCTCTTTTTCCCACTTCCTCTCTGTTTTCCTGCACACAAATCATTTTTTCTTCATAGTAGGTAAAAAAGGTTTTAGCTTTTTGTACGTGACTGGTGACACAGAGTCTAAAATCTTCGTGTAGGATAAAACTAAGACAAGAAACGGAGACTTTAAGGGACGAGAACGATCAGTGTGGTGGGTTTGTGGTCAGGAGAGAGCAGTGGAACCTAGAAGAGAACTGCACTGTGGTCAGAAATGGCAATAGGAACTAAGTGCTATCTTCCACAAAGACTGTTGCAGCTTACCAGATCAAGTGTGTGCCTTTTGTCATGACTGAGGTGCTTCATATTTTGGGTCAAATTAAAAGAATCTAATAATTTGATCGTATCAGATGCAGAAGATGTACGTGTACACATACTTCTTTAATAAAAAACAAGGTTGTTTCCTTTTTTTATTAAAAAAAAAAACATAACATATTGCGATGTTGGTGTTTTTAGTTGTACAATTAACACACGTATTAAGCACAAAACTGTATAAATGACACATAACATTGCATTTATTGCATTTAGAATGACTGGACAAAGCACATTGAGGCTATTTGGGCATTTTGTGCCCATGGAGTTTGATGACCTGCATTGTACAGGCCATACAGTAGGTTTAACCCAACAAAGTGTGGATTGACCATGGTCAGCTGAGCTGACTGAGACTATGCATGGCTCTCTTTGCTGACAGTGTTTGCTAGATAACAAACAAGGTATTTGCTATGAGCTTAGCTTCTAGGAATTTGCTTGGCAAGCACATGCTTAGATGTTAGTTATGTGAGCAGGTATGTGTGAGTTTTGCACCACCCTAGCATCATTCCCTACTGTATTAGTAGTTTCAGAGAATTTTAATCCAGTTTGGTATTTCACAACGACCAACTACCTCCTAGCAAATAAACCATTAAAAATGTTTAGAATGTTTTAGGTCGAGACATGTAAGGATTTTTGTTTGTATTTGTGTAGTGTGTAATTCAAATGTATAAATGCAGTTAACTACTTAAATGTGAATGTCTCATTTACATTTGGATCTGTTACATGTATATATAATAGCAGGAAACTGGGAAAAATGCCTCATCTAGCTCTAGTTTCCACAGAACATGATGACATTTATTTATTCATTCATTCATTCATTTATATATAATAGCAGGAAACTGGGAAAAATGCCTCATCTAGCTCTAGTTTCCACAGAACATGATGACATTTATTTATTCATTCATTCATTCATTCATTCATTTATTTTAAACTTCATTGCCAGCCATCAGTGACAGGGAAATAATATAAGAAAAACAAAAACAACAACCTTGAGACCAGACTACCCATACTTAAATATGCATGCACACATATACACACATATGTACCAAATGCAAACTGAAATAAAAATGAGACGAATGACTTGTTAAAAATAAATAATAATAATCATGATAATAATGAAAATAATAAATAAAAAAATTCACCATACATGTACAAAATGAACCTCAACATGTTTTTGGACTGTGTGGGAGGAAGCCGGAGAACCCAGAGAGAACCCACGTTGCACAGGGAGAACATGCAAACTCCACACAGAAAGATCCTGGATGTCCTTACCGGGACGCGAACCGGCGACTTTCTAGCTGCAGTGCTAACCACCGAGCCACCTTGGAGCCCCACCTGATTCATTCTAAAAAAAAAAAAAAAGTTAAATAAATAGACTGTACTTAAAATGACATGACTTTTATCTTTTTCTTTTAGACCTTTCCATGTGGAGCCCAGGAACATTGTAGATGATGACCCACAGGAGAGAGTCTCTGCCGAGGCGGCCATCCTCAACAGCAGAGTCCATTACTATGGCAGGCTGACGGGCTCTTCTGACAGACTATTGGTAGGTCTAATTGTTATAACCATGGATATATAATTATCACTATAGTTCTTGGCCAAATCTGCTGACTTCCTGTTCCTACACACAACAACTGATGGCGACATAAAACCCAGACACAAGTATAGGATATTTATTACTGTATTTTGGAATGCTATATTAAGCACATTTTGGTTCTGTTTGTTGTATTTTTTTAGTTGTCTGCAAAAGTTGCACCTTTTGCTGATTTCTGAAATGGTCAGAAAAAAGATCATAAAAGTTTGCCTTTCATCAAATGTTAACACATTGTTACTTTGTATTGTATGAACTTATAACCAGAAGGAGAACTGTAATGTGTTCACAAATTTAAGAAAATGTTATTGGTAAATAATTCCAGCTCATAAATTCTCAGATGTTATGGTGACACTCAACCTCTGACTAAGATCTGAAAGTGAAGCTAGCTGATGCTTAAAGCGTGGAAAGGCTGTAAGAAACATTAAAGCACTTCCAGCTTGCATTTTTTTTTACTGTCTGTAGTGGCTAAGCCTGAACCTAAAGCCACTGAGGGCTGCATAGACAGTAACAGTCGTCTGACGCGCTCTGTTGTAGCACTGCCGGTGAAATTAACAGTCTAAACCAACACCTTGAGTTGGATGGGTTTATTTGCTCACTTCAATCCAATATTAAATGGACACGTACAAGTGTGTTTACCAAGTTCACCAACAAAAGTAGCAGCACCAGTAAGTGTGCTGCTTACCGCGACAGGTCAAAAACTGTTTGCCCTCTTTTCCGTCTAGCAACACCTGTACCTGACAGAAGGTCCATCCATCCACTATCTATACACCACTTTATCCTCATTAGGGTCGCGGGGGGCTGGAGTCTATCCCAGTTGACTTAGGGCGCAGGCAGGGGACACCCTGGACAGGTCACTGACAGAAGGTTCCTACCTTAAATACATGCTCTTAATCCCTTAGAGTGCCACCTGGTGGATACATTAGTGTTTTCCACACATTGACACACATTCTGTAACTGGCTCCTACACTGTCTTAGATGTTTTTAGAAATGGCTGTGAAGGATAATGGTGGAAATATGGACAAGGTCAGGAAGAGCAAGAACATTTTAGATAAAACTGCACATTTGCTGGCTGCTTGACTCCATGACTGCAAAGAGGCTGCAGGAAGGTTCAGTGACACAGGAGGGAGGGTGTATCATTTCATTGTGCAGTCTCATTGGATTTCATTGGATGCACAAATAGTGCTGTTGAGGTAAAGTCATCAGAAGCAAACCTTACCTTCTGTCTGGCACAGAGTCAAAATCTAGAAAAGTCGAAGTTGTTTTGGAAACAAATACTGTGGACAAATGATTTAAATTGTGGGATTTTTTTTAGTGCAGTTCTATTACCAGAACATTTACAAACGCACTCTCTTCAATAAAAATCTTTTGTTAGTTTACTAATAAAGCAGGGTTTGCAGATATACTAGGAACAAAACTTTCATTTAAGAGCTTACTGCCCATATCTCTGTTTAACCTCTGACCATGGTAGAATGTTCCACAACTGGTTCTCTCTCTCTTTTTTTAAATCAAATAATGCTGTATGGGGTGATGAGTGTCCTTCTTTTTTCTAACTGTATGAATTAGTATTTTGTGTATTTTATTTTGATTACATCTCTATCAGGTCAGTGGGGGGTGTGTATTATATATTACCTCATAGCTGGTGGGTTTTATACCCTAAGGTAGGCTTTCTTTGTTATGTAATTACATGATATCAACATAATTCCAGTACTTTTCATAAAGGCTCGTCACTATACCTGTAAGCACTTTAACTTCACTGTGTGTCTCTCTGTGTGTCTGTGTGTGTTGTTATTTTGTTTTTCCTCCTCCAGAGTCCTCCAAACCATGTGATCCCACGGCCAGAGGAGATCTACATCTACAGTCCACTGGGGACAGCTTTTAAGGTTGCAGGCAGCGACCACTCTAAAAATCCCAGCATCATTACAATGTAGGCCCTGTCAAATCATCCCCCTACACTTCAACTTTCTTCTTACTTAAGTGAATGTACTTAACTGCTTTTCTCTCCTCACAGATTTGCAATATGGAACACAATGATGGGCACATCTATACTGAGCATACCTTGGGGCATAAAGCAGGTGTTTTGCTTTATTTTACACACTTCATGTTTGGTCCTCATCTTGTTCAAAGCCACGTCTAAAATGACTAGTTTTGTGTTGACCCCGGTTATACTTGAAATGCACAGTTTAATGTTAAATTTTACCTACAGGACAATAACTGAAAATAAATCAGTGTTGACTTTGTCTCTTCAGGCTGGTTTCACTCTGGGGGTCCTCATCCTCATTTTCACAGGCCTGCTGATGTTGTACTGTTGTTACATCGTCCTCAAATCACCAAAGGCAATAAGTAAGTCCTGCAACAGGTTTAAATATATGATGTTTAAAGTGTAACAGCTATAATATGCTGCTATCAGATGGAAATAATTAACTGCATTGATCGATAAAATAAATATATAATGCACGTTTAGCAATTTTCTGCCACCAATTTCTGTCTTGCATCATTTTCAGTAGCAGTACTTTTTACCGTCAAACATTTTTAGATTCCTCATTGTTCTCCATTAAAGCAACACGTTGATTGAAGCAGCTGCACACGATCGTTTCATTTTGTCACATGACGTGTTAAACACCCTTTCATGTGAAGTGCCAACAGTTTTAAGTAGTTTGTCCAGTTTCAACTTGGAAAACAGCGACATGTTGTTGTGCTGCATTAACAAGAATCTAGTACAACATGGAAGTTAAAACAGGTCTCTGTTCATTTCATGCAATAAAAATATTGTGTACCAATATCAGTGAACAATTGTGATAACTAGTTGTGGTCTAAATATTCATTTAAAAGAATCTTGATGAGCAGTTTGGCCATAATCATGCAGTCCTACTCACCATGCAAATTTAGCATTTTTCCACACAACTGTTTAGGTAATTTTTGAGCCTCATGTTATCATCTTCATTTTAATAGGCACCTGTTATTATGCCTCTTATAGTCAACTCCACCGCAGTCTAAATAGAAACTCTGAGCTCTCAGTCAGTGTCTGAGCCACATGTGAGATTTTTGTTCAACACAATTCATCCAAATGTTCAACTATGTGTAAACCCTTACAGTTTGGTCGCTATGTTAAATTTTACCCATGCAATTTCAATACTGATGAAAACCTAGTTAAATCCTATTCTGAGACTTGATACTTTAGCTTGGTATCCATTATTTTATTTTACATTGAACATGCTGAAGCATAGTCTGATGAGAAATGTGTATCCGTCCAAAGACTGGACTGTAAATGGTGTAAACAAATAAACATGGGAGCTACATTTTACAGAAAACAGAGTAGAAAAGTGGAAGGAGCTGCAGATTGCAGAGATAGTTTCTTGCTTCAAAATTCACATTTCAATGTTTTCTGTAAGGATAAATCCACTGTTCAACAACAAGGAGCAATTTCTCTTTCCTGCTTGGTAAAATATTCTAATAATATGTAGTAATTAGAAGTAGCTGTTCTGTAGCAGTTGTTGCTGTCTTGATGATAGCAGTAAGCTGTCATTATGGCAGCAGGTAGGGAACAAATCTGGACTGTAACACATTAAACAGATTAAAACTGCTGACATTTCTATCCAAGAATTAGATAATAATTGCTGTAGTTATTGTCTGTGTTCCGTCCAGCCTCCGTGGACACATCCAGCTGGGAATTCCCTGATGTTTGTAGGCACTACTTTGGAAAGTTTGGTCAGTGGTCCAGCCTGGTTTTCTCCATGGTGTCGCTAGTTGGAGCCATGGTGGTCTACTGGGTCCTCATGTCCAACTTCCTCTTCAACACTGGACAGTTTATCTACAGTAAGTCACAATGCTGTCGTCAGTAAAAGAAAGTAAGTATTACGTACAGTTGAAACCAGAAGTTTACATACACTGTATAAAAAGACCAAAGTACTACTAATACTAATACTAAGGAAATGTATGTAAACTTCTGACTTTGAAGAAAGTCATAAAACATTCTCTAAAAATTCTCTCTCATATTATTCTGGTATTTAGCAAATAGAAATAATTTTGGTAATCCTAACTGACCTAAAACAGGAAAAGTTTAGTCTCATTTAATGTCAGAAAGTGAGGGGAAAAAAATAAAAAAAGTCTTTTTATACAGTGTATGTAAACTTCTGGTTTCAACTGTACATTTGTAGTTTCTTTGCTGGATTGTTTAAACAAAGAAAATTCAAGGCAACACACATTTGTTGTTTCTGACTCCATGTTAAACAGCCTTCCACTGTCTTACAACTGTACCACGGCCGATTCTGTGTTTTCTTTGTCAGATGACTTGACAAAGTTCATCATGGCATTTATGTGTTTCATTTAGGGACTAGCCTAATGAGCCTTAAATTCCAAAGCCTACCTCACCATGTGTTCACCATTAATAGCAGTTGAGAACATCTGTTTATAGATGATGGTAATTTTTTGCAGAGAGATGGAAAATAATTGGTGGTTGTATCTCTAAACTTGCAATTATTTCTCTGAGTTGATGGCGTGTTCTCCTGTTTATAGACCATGCTCACAATGTCAACGTGTCAGATTCAGAGTTTGGAACCAACGGCTCAGAAAGAGGTAAGTCACTTGCACAACGCAACTTTGTTTTATCATTGATGTTAATGATGTAGTTCTTTTGTAAATGCAGAGTAGGTAACTGTATGTACGGTAACGCTTTGTTGATTTGTTCACCAGTCATCTGTCCATACCCAAACACCGACCCTGGAGGGAATGATACCATCAGCACACTTTATCTTAGCAGTAGCGGAAACGGTACCTCTGATGTCAACGATTTTCAACGCTATTGGAGTAAAACCAACACCGTCCCCTTCTACCTCATCATTCTGCTGCTTCCACTGCTGTGCTTCCGCTCAGCTTCGTTCTTCGCAAGGTTCACTTTCTTGGGTAAGCTGGAACAAGAGCAATGTTCAGGATACATCAGAAAGCTTAGGCTTGGCACAGAATGAATACCAGAGTTTTTTTTTGCAACTCACTGTCACAACATAAGCATTGAAACATCAGCACTAGGTACCTGTTCTGGTCTTTGATTGAATTTTGGCCAACCTACATTAATTGATTTGTAGCAGTTCGATAGTTGCCATTGTGTTGAATTATGACAGAAACACACTTTGCTTCAGCTTAGAGAACCAGGAGGTAATCAAACAACTAAAACTGCTAGCATGTCAAGAACAAATGTTTTGTAAATTGTTTTTAAAGTGGGTTTAGAGGAAAAGAGTTCGCTTCCAGAAATAGAGATCACTCTGGTGTCTGGCAAGCACTTAGAGTTTCTCTTTCTCCTCTTCTTTCAATCTAAGTAACTGTGTGTAAGCATCCTAATTAGATGTTAGTTTCTTCTGCGGTTGTGTCTGGTTCATTTCTTTCAACAGTGATCCCAGCTTTCACATTCAAATATCACACCTTAGGCATGCATCTTCAAGCCCAAATATAATCTATACAGTTTCTATCAGTTTTCTCTGATAACATCAGTGAGGTGTCTCATTATAAGGAGCGCTCTCTCAGCGTTAACCTCCGAAGCCTTTATATTATTACTCCAAATACTACTGGCTCATAGTCATGACGCTTGCATCGAGGTGGAGCCACTCTCCCTCCCTATTAAAGGGATTGACGCAGTGTCACCCATCAGAGAGCAAGCAGCCACTCCTGTTCAGGGGAGAAAAAGGGAGGGGGATAAATTGCCCTCAGCTTCAAAAGAACACACCCCAGTGATGGATGTTTGGGCCTGAAGGCAGAGTTTGGTTCAAGTATGACCTTAAGATTACCTTGTGTGAACTGTGCATTGTACATCACTGACAGTACGTAAGTGTCACTGACATGTTTTGCTGATGCAAGGGCCAGCAATAATAAGGCAGAGTATCTTTATGTCCACCTGATCCAGAGGTTCAAATACCAAAGATAAATCACAAACAGAGACCAGTGGTTTAGACATTGGGCAGAGCTATCGTACTCTTTTAAAAAAAAAAGATTAAAAAAAAAGTCCAGAGGGTGCTGGCCTACCGTATGATCTGAAAAACGTAACGGCAGGCTAAAATGGCTACCAAAGACACTTTAATAGTAAAATAGCAGCTGCTGAAGAAAGGAGAGAACTACTGCCAAAGAGCATTAAAAGGAAATGATCTGAGATTTGCTGCCTATACTTCAAACACCCTCCATTTGTTTTTCTACAATGTCATTGTGATGTGGACTTCTGTGCTCTAAATAATGTATATGATCCAGTCACACTGTATCTAGGAGAGGCATCATCTCTCCTATCTTATTGCACCTCATCCACCTGGGGGCATTCAGTATCATTGTTAGACCCCTCTCCCTCACTCTGGTCACCGTGGGGGGAAATGTTGGGAAATGTTGCAGTAAAAGCTGCCATACTAGCAGGTCAGAGCAGCCCTAAATCACATTATGTTGTAGAATGCAGGACAGATGAGCCATTATGCTTAGAGTTGAAGATTAGCTCCAGAGTTTGTTAAAACTGCTTTTTGTGGCGTTCCTTCTGAATGCGCTGTGTGCTGTGTCACTCATCCATCCATTGTTGCTTCCTTCCGTCTTGTCCAGGCACCTTATCAGTGCTCTACCTGATTGCGCTGGTTACTTACAAAGCTGTCCGCCTTGGCTTCCACCTGGAGTTCCACTGGTTTGACGCAACCCAGTTCTATGTTCCAGGTAAACCTTTGTGTTCGTTTTCTCAGCAACTAGGATGAACCTTGTTGGCATACTCTAGTTAAAGAATGTGAAACAGTCAGTACATCCCATTGAAACCGTCAGCTTCTTCAGCATTTTAAATAAGAAAGCCTTTGATTCTATGCTTCAGTCAAGAATTAAAATGACTATCGTGTCATGTTACATTTGATCCTCTTTGAAACCGTGCTTACAGATAAAGGTGATGTACTTCAACACAACCACAAGTAAACTTAGCTTTTCCAATTATTTCTTGTATTGACAAAAATATCAATAGACGTTTTATTCTTTTGTGTTGTGCATAGTTGTACTCCAGTCTCTAACAATGGCTTGCTACATTTTTTGAACGGTCTTCCAGGCAAACTTTACTTATGGTAGCAAGATATTTGGGGGTGTTTTTGCATGTCCTGCTTTCGAATCCTCAAATCCCCCTACAATGTGCTTTAAGTGCAGACTTTCAGCTTTAGTTTAAGGGTACTGACATCCACATCAGATGAAGGTTGTAGAAGTTACAACACATTTCATATGTGCCGTCCGCCTTTTTAAGGGGCCAAAAGTAATGAATTGGCCTGCCCTGCCTTTCTCACTAAAATACCCCAAAGGTGTTCTCTAGAAACTCACACAATTTTGCCATTTGCCCCTCCCCCCTTCTAGGGAAAGGCCTCCCTTCCTTCTTCCCTTTAAATGGCGTAACACCTCCTGTGGCAGGAGCTCCAGCTCCTCTCTTCATAGTTATGTAACCAATCATCCCCAAAATAACTATTCCAACAATCATTAGGTAGTATAGCCACAGCCAGGCAGATAGCACTCCTATCCAGCTATCTGCTGTCATAAGTGATCGTGCCACCACAGTTCCTTCTGTCTCATGACAGTAGCATTCATGCCCATCTTTTACCACTCATTGTTTTGTGTTTATTTGGCATATAACCTAAAAAAACACCATACCTACTGTCAAAGAAGGCTGGGAAAGTGCCTTAGACTCCAACAGAATTACTTCAACGGGGAAAACTTGTAGTTTGTAGCTTGGATTTGAAATATATCTTTTGTGACACCAGTCCTTGAACTTCTCTGACACACCTCGTACATGGTCTTTAAAGTGTGTGTAGACCTTTGTTCACAACTATGTAAAAAATTAAACAAGTATTTATTGTTATTTTGTTTAGTACAGTATACTCTATTGAGCCATCCATTATTGATACCCCACTTAATCCTCTGTAGGGTCATGGGGGGTTGTAGTCTATCCCAGCTGACTCAGGGTGAAGGCAGGGGACACCCTGGACAGGTCTCCAGTCTATCACAGGACTACACTTAGAGACAGACAACCAAGCACACTCACATTCACACCTACGGACAATTTAGAATCACCAATTAACCTCAATATGTTCCTTCTTCTTCTTCTTCTTCTTCTTCATTATAATAATAATAATAATAGTAATAATAATAACAATAAGACATTATTTGTATATACCTAGGTACATTGAAAATGAAGAATTCCCCCCAATGTGTCCTCTGAGATTTTAAATATATAAAATGAGTGAAATGGATGAAAGTTTTTTGATCAATGAAAGTAATGAACAACACAACCAGAAGCATTACTGTGGCTTCAACTTGTTTTGTTGTTTGCAGTGGCAAATGTGTCATTGACCTTATTTTGCTCTTTCAGAGTTCAGACTGCTCTTTCCTCAGCTGACTGGTGTCCTAACTCTGGCCTTCTTCATTCACAACTGCATTATCACACTCATGAAGAGCAACAAGCACCAAGAGAACAATGTGAGCCCCATCCATCCAAGCTCCTGACAGTTTCATATATGTGCATTGCACTCTTCAAATCTGGTCTTTGCCGACTCAGATAACACTGTTCAGATTCACAAGTAGTTTTTAAAATTTTTTTGGTGGATCATGTCAGTCATCATTAGCGATGACAGCACTGGTGTACAAGTTGGAACAACATTTATTAAAAATCAACCTCCCGTTTTCATTTTCTTCTCATAGTTTATTGACCTCAGGATACACAGGAAGTCAAGTGATGCTTTTAAGTTAAATGTGTTTGTGTTTTGATGTCTTTAGGTGCGGGACCTGTCTGTGGCTTATCTTCTAGTAGGAATGACCTATATGTATGTGGGAGTGTTGATTTTTGCTTCCTTTCCTTCACCGCCTCTCTTCAAAGACTGCATCGAACCAGTAAGATTTAAACATGCTGCTTTTACAGTATTTAATATTATCTACAGTGACTGCAGCTTCCCTATTGGATTTCTTTAAGGACTGCACTGCTTCTCTCTTACAGAACTTCTTAGATAACTTTCCCACCACTGATAAGCTGGTGTTTGTGGCTCGGGCCTTCCTGCTCTTCCAGATGATCACAGTCTACCCTCTGTTGGGATACTTGGTGCGGGTCCAGATCATGAGTCAGATCTTTGGAAATCATTACCCCAGGTAACCCTTAACAATATTGAATTCAGTGTTTGTGATTTGTTTTTTCTGTATCCAAGCAGCAGATTGTTGATGATAACTTTTGACAACAGTGTGCTTGGTTTTTGACAAAACTCACATACAGTACTGTGAAATATTAACAGTATGAAATTCAGACTAATGAACGCATGACTGGAAGCTTCAGATTCATGTGAAATCTCAGGCAATTTCCCACCTTAGTATATCTATTGGAACAGTCACTGTAGCTGACTATGTCTCTTCCTTCAAACAGGTTTGTTAGTATATACCGTACCAGACAATACTTGGACACACTGACTTATTTAAGGGGTTTTTCTATGTTTTTTGTTGACATTTTATGAAATGTAGAACAGCAATTTGGAAGAAGAGAAATTTAATTGAGTCATTTGTCTTTTGATGACAGCTTTTGGCAAACGCTTAATCAGTTCATGGGGTCATCACCTGTAATGGTTTTCAGTTAATAGGTGAGGCTTCATCAGCTGCATTGTGCCAAATTAGTGTTGATAACAAATAATGCTGTTCAAATACCATAGAAATCCGTCTTACGTTAAGAAGCGCTCAGTTAGGTAAAGAGAAACGACATACATTCAGACACAAGTCATTTTGCTTTAGTCATTTTCAAGATCTTTGCAGGTTTCCTCAAGTGCAGTCACAGAAACCATCAATATGATACTGTACTGTGGAGATATGGTGTTACCATGCAGGAATGGTATAGAGCAGCAAAGGAGAGCATCCTTACCTATGCTAAAACTCTGTGGTTTGGCAGCATTTTAGGTGATGACAGGGGACCGCTGGATGCAGTGGTGTGCACTGCATCCAGAACTCATCATGTTTTTATGACTGAAGGGTTTTACTATTTTTGTGTTTTCCTCTGTGTTCAAATGGGCTCACTTAAATATTGAATCATGAGTCACAATAGTAGAAATGGCCCACATGAGGACCACAGCAAAAAAGGAATACCAAGACTTACCTCTAAACCCTGCCCAGGATAAGTTCATTTGAGTAACTAGCCTCTAAAATTGCAAAGTCAACTGCACCTCAGGATTCAGTAGTTCGGGCTTGGTTTATTTTAAAATTCCATGTCTTTTTTTTGTTTTGTTTTTACGTCTTCATTGTTGTTGTAGAATGTAGAAAAGTTAAAAGGTTAGCAGTAGCCCATCTGACCCTGCCTTTTAATGATGACATGCTGCAGGAAAGGACTTTCTTTCTTTCTTTTATAAATCATTTATCAGAGGCATGTTTCACAGAGGTTGGTAAAGAGCTAAAGGAAATTGAATAAGCAACTCAATAATATGCAAAAAGCAGTGAGCTAGTATTTTTTTTTCAAATCTCACATGATTACACAGCTTTTTAAGTTAATGAAATGAATGAAATGAATGAATGAAAAATACTTTATTTATCCCAGAAAAGAAATTCAATTAATTAAGCATATCATAACTTTTCACTTTATCTCTCTTCAGTTTCTTTCATGTTCTGATGCTGAATATCTTAATTGTCGGAGCTGGTGTCCTGATGGCCAAGTTTTATCCCAATATCGGATCCATCATACGGTATGTATGCATGTCTGTGTGTGTCTGTCTGTGTGCGTGCGTGTCTGTGTGTGTGTGTGTGTGTGCGTGTGCACGTGTGTGTGTGTGGATGTGCGCCTGCTCTTCATGAGAGTGTATCGTGACTACTCTTGAAGAAACTTAGATGGACAGAGATTTTTGGGGTCCGTGCTGTTTTTTTGACTGCAAAGCCTGTCTTACGAGAGCAACAGGGCTCCGTAACCAAGGGATATAATAGACTGTTTATGGGCCAGGGAGGGAGCACAGTTGGGTGAGGGTTGTTCATGCAATTGTATTTTGTGTTCAATCAAACATTCTATTGAACAATTTTGTGATTGCTATTGATGAGGTGTCTCTCACTTGTACATACCCCTCCTCCCTTTTGCAGGTTTTCCGGGGCTACATGTGGCTTGGCTTTAGTGTTTGTATTTCCTACATTAGTCCACATGATCTCCCTGAGACGCCAGGGAAGGCTCAGCTGGCCCTCAGCCATCTTCCACAGTTTCCTGATCCTGCTGGGCATAGCCAACCTGATTGCTCAGTTCTTCTTGTGAGAAGCAGTCACTTCACTGTTCAAAGGTCATGATAAAAAAAATTTGATCGACAGTTCAGATGGGAATCTCTGTAATTACCTGCAGAACTTTGATGTACATACGTATTTTATTTCATACAATGCAGCCTTTGGTAATTCTATGCTCAAATCATCTTTGGAGATAGGGCCCCTACAGTAACTTGGATTGTTCGTGCCCACACTGATTCCAGACATGCCCAGCCAAGTCTTCTAGACACACTGTGAACTATGTCGAACCTCAGCCCAACTACATCAGCAGCAGTACATTCAGTATATAAAGTTACTGTTCAAAGCTTTTTTTTTTTTTTTTTGGTAGTGAACCTTAAAGTGCAGAATTGATATTTTTTACAACAATTTATCAAATGCCAATGTGAAAAGGGCTCTAGTAGGGATGAACCTACAGAGGATAGGATGAATCTGAAGTTCCTGCTTTATCGAGCTCCATGCTCCGTTTTACTTGTCTGTTTAGCTCTCTGGCTGAAACTCTATTGTTTGAGTTCACCCTTGCCTGTCTCATAGCACTGTTTTGGCTGCAGCTGTTTCCAGAGGAAAAGCTCTAAAAGCCAACTGCACACTACCTGTTCATCACCAAAAAGCAGACTAACAACAGAGACTACAACAGCTAAAGAGATAGATGTTGCCCTCAGGAGTTGGTTGAGACCAGAGACGGTCTAAATAAGAATAATTTTGGACTTATTACCAGTCCCAGTTAATATCATTGGTGCTTCATAAGTTATCGATGTTGAAATAAGCAGCTGTTTACTAACAAGTTTATCGTATGAACTTGAACTTGGAAAGGAGATATGATAATGGTTTCCATATCTTCTCCTCACTGCCCCCAAGTGGTAAAGCATGTCTGTTATTTCAGGTCAAAATGTGTCACGATTTGGTAAAACCAGATTTTATGGTTTGCTTTTTTTTATGGAAGTTGTATAATTCTTACACCAGGGAATCAAATAAAAAACAATTTAATAACAGTCCATTAATAACTTTGATTATCAGTAACTGTTTATTTATTTTTGAAGACAGCAGTGTTCTGTTTGTGAATAAACTTTTGACATACTCTTTTAATTTTTATGACCAGTGTTGATTTACATGTTGGACATGTTTACGTGATGCCCATTTTCTAGATACTATGCCAACTGAGCTGTATTTTACGAATGATAGGATAGACAAAGGGAATATGTGTATGAAATAAAACATATCAATCTGTAAATGCTGTAGTTTCCTGTTTTAATGAACTTGTACCCGTGTAAACAATAATTCAGATTCATTGGAACACATGTAAGTAGAATTATCTATTGATGTCTTATTTACATTTTACTTGCTGTTTGTTTGTGGTATGTGGAAGACAACAGTCAGAATTAGTAAGTAAGTCAGCTGTTGAATTGGTGAGTACACTATTGGATGGCCACTATTTCACTGAAGCAAATAGTGGT